ATTCTCAATAAAAATTAATTAAATATATTGACCGTAGTTGTATACTCATCGGGGAAGAGGGACACTAAACATTTTATAAAATGAAATAATCCTACTATTAATGTAGAAAACTCCATACATATATAACACACAGAAGTCTTGTATCTTATATCACCACCTTTGTGAGCACAGAGCACCTACTTCCTTCCATAATTTCCTTCTACATGAGACTTCTGTGTGGACTTTTCCCCTGGGTGTTCTTGGGGAGTGAAAAAAAGTGGTTTAGATAGATATATAAAGGGAAGAGAGAAATAGACAGAGACACAGGATAGCCTAAGTAGAGCCTAGAACTTAATCCACCAGCTCAGAACTTTGCTCCAAAGGATTTTTATATCAATACCTAGGAGGGAGGCAAAAGACCACCCTCTTAATAGATACAACTACCAAACACCCAGTACCCAGGCACGAGGTCCAATCATCCTCTTGTGTAGCCCTGCTGGTAAAGCAAGCTCAGAGATCACTAGGGAACCTCTGTGGGCTCCAACAGACCTTCATTCTACTAATGTACTCAATGATGAAGGATTATTGGTAAATCAGCCTGAAGAAGACAACATGAGAACTCCCAAGTGAGAGTGGTAACACAGAATATTTGAAGTGAACAGTAATACCCATTCACAAGCTGTAATTTCCACCACAGCAAGTAAGGGAAATATGATTGTAATTGTGCTAAGTTGTGGATAATAATGGAAAGCAATGTTTCGGTTTCCAGATTTTAAGTCATTCCATGAATAAAACCAACCAGCATTTATGGCCAGCTATGGTTACATTTTTTTGTTTTTTGTTCTTTAAGGGGTTGGAAAGATGGCTAAGATGTTAAGAACATGGTCTGCTCTTACAGGTGGCCTAAGTCGAGTTCCCAGAACATGTGAAGTGCCATATTACTACCTGTAATTCTGGTACAAAGGGCATCAGATGCCTCTGATGGCCTTCACTTGGCCTTGTATGGACTTACTACACTCTACATATGCCTAATTCAAATATTGATAAACATGAAGGTTTGTTTATTTTTGTTGGTATATTTATTAATATAAATGCCCTTTATAGTTATTATCTTAAATCAATTTTATTACAATCTGTATATTTTTCACACATGTGTGTGAGTGGGGTGTGTGTGTGTGTGTGTGTGTGTGTGTGTGTGTGTGTGTGTGTGTGTTTAAAGTGCAATAGTCAAGAAGGCATCTTGTAGGAGTTGGCTCCATCTCATTTCAATGGGCTTCCTAAGATGAATTCAGGTCATCAGGCTTGTGGCAAGAGATTTACCTCCTAACTCTTCTCATTGACCCTAAATATCTTTTTGAAAGATTTACTTATTTATTATGTATACAGTGCTCAGCCTGCATGTATGCCTGCACACAAGAAGAGGGCAGAGATTCTCATTGTAGACAGTTGTGAGCCACCATGTTGTTTCTGGAAATTGAAAACAGGACCTCTGGAAGAGCATGCCATGCTCTTAACTGGTGAGGCATCTTCCCAACCCCCGCCCCCAAATGTCTTTTTTAAATGTTCTTTGCATTATAGACAATGACTGGCAATAAAGGTCAAAAATAATTCTGCACTCTCCTTTGAATTTAGCCATCTCCAAATCAATAACCAGTTGACTTATATGGATTGTGTATGCCAAACTCTCATTGGAAAAATTGTGGCTGTTTCTTTTCACTACAGATGTATTTTATCTATATTATTGTGACATTTATTGCTACTGTGTACAAAAATCTTAAGTAGGACACCTGTTTTTCTCTATATCAAGTGTCCACACTTTCGCCCATTTTTATA